AATTTTCACATTTTTATATTTTTTGAGTTGCATTATCAATAATTACATATGCATACAAACACATCTGCAGTGATGGGAGCATGGCTACACATGCACACACAAACACAAAAATACAGAAGAAAACTTACACCAATGTTAAATTCATATAATAAGAAAAAAATTACAAAATATAAGCAGTAAATTTGTGATACAGATCTGCCTACAAAACTCCAGATTTGGGATGCTGAAGGTAACATCAGTGAGCTAAGTGACAAACTTTTATTCACATATATATATATATATATATATATATATAAATAATCAAAAAAAAATTTTTATCTTGTGTGGGGAATAGACTAATTCAGCAGACAGCCACTTTTATCATCTGCTGAAATAGTCTGCTCCTCATATGAGGTAAAAAGATTTTGGGATTATTTATTCATATTGTTCTGTATAAATAAAATACATCAAGCTCTTTTTTGTCAATCAGTTTTAATACTTTTATACTACTAGGATCCACTCAGATTATATACCCACAGATTTATTTTACCTTTACTAAATATACATATATATATATATATATATATATATATATATATATATATATATATATAAAAAATCTATGACAAAGTGTTTTTTTTTGTGCAACATGTTTTGTTTAGAAATACATTGGACTAATTTGATACTTATGTTAATGTAATTACACATGTGCATAATTTTTTTTTTAATGTGCTTGTATCAAGCCAATTCTTACATGTATAAGGATCACTTATATATATATATATATATATATATATATAGTCTAGCCATTGCTTATATTATTTATCCTTTTTGTCCTGATATATAAAAATTATATATCTTTTTTACCCATATAGCAACAAGTAGTAAAATTTTACTATTAAGCTGACTGATAAGAGTGAATACCATATCTGTGAAATTTTATTTGTTTGTTATTGTTAATGCTGTCTCTCTCTCTCTCTCTCTCAATATTGAGCACTTTAATTGCAAAGGGTGCTTTGTGTTAAAGGCATTACCTTCCAGAAATTCACTCATCAATCATTTATTTTTTTGCAAAATATAATAATTATATAAAGACTTTCTCTCTCTGTCATTTCTCCACACACACGCACATTATATATATATATATATATATATATATATATATATATATATATATATATATATACTAAGCCAGTGAAAGAAATTTAAAAGTTTAAAAACATAATAATGATAATAAAAAATAATAGTTAATATTATTATATTTTTAGTCCTTTAGACCAAATAGAAGCATGATGAGAAAAGCTATTAAAAAATCGAAATTTTCAGACACGCCTGTATACTTTCTCAACAACAATTAAAATTAAGTTGGACTTTTGAGGATTTTTTTTTTATGCATGTTTTATATTACTGATGAAATCTATATATATATATATATATATATATATATATATAATTCATATTTTATGATGTCTGTATGTGTAATAAGATTATTTAATTTTGCGCATTTAAAATATTGATATAATGGGAATTTTGCTGTCAGTTTAAATTGACTCCATTTTTCTACTCTAAAAAAAAAAAACAAAAAAAAATTCTTGTAAGATACACCCATATATGTTACCCTCAAGGTTTGCATAAAGGGGTACTGGAAAGTTCTCAGTTCAGCCCATTTCCCAAAATCTAGTCAAACAAGCTAGCCTCATAATTATTTTGTAATCTCTTCTTGGTCAGTCCAAGATTTTAACAGCAGTTCTTTGTGTATTTCAAAATAAGCTTAGTAAAGAAAAAAAAGTATGAATAAATTGAAACCACTGTTCAATACAGGGTTGGAATAAACAGCTTTTATCTCTGCGTGCTTGCTTTTAGTTTGAATTTTTTTTCATTCTATCCACTGAGAATAGCAGAATATTCTTATCAGTGTCTGTGTTTGACCATCAAATAATTCAGAAGCAATTTTACAGCTCATAAGAAATCATGGAATATAGTTTTATTAGTGAATATCTTGCAACAACAATCATTATGGAAATGTAAGCTTTTTTTATTCCTATCTTTTTTCTTGTTTTTGCTTTTTCCTTTTGTTTTTCTCCTTTTATTTCTGTTTTTCTCCTTTTATTTCTGTTTTTCTCCTTTTATTTCTGTTTTCCTCCTTTTTTTCTGTTTTCCTCCCTTTTTTCTGTTTTTTTCCCTTTTTTCTTTTTTGTTTTTCTCCTTTTTTCTGTTTTTTTCCCTTTTTTGTTTTTCTCCTTTTTCTGTTTTTCTCCTTTTTCTGTTTTTCTCCTTTTTCTGTTTTTCTCCTTTTTTCTGTTTTTCTCCTTTTTTTTTGTTTTTCTCCTTTTTTTTCTGTTTTTCTCCTTTTTTTTCTGTTTTTTCTCCTTTCTTTCTGTTTTTTCTCCTTTCTTTGTTATTTTTTTCTCTTTTTTTCTGTTTTTCTCTTACTTTTTACTTTTTTTCTTTCTTTTTTTCTTTCTTTTTTTTCTGTTTTTATATGACTTTTCTTTTGCCCTCATTTTTAATTCATTTTTGAAGGGTTGGTTAAATATTTTTCATTCTTTTTTTTTCCTCAAACTATAACTTCAACAGGTAGGGAAAGTATGCATTGGGCATCAAAATATAAGCATTTAAAAAATGTACTAATCTTATTGAACAGATATGTTGCCTGTTAACAAAATGAGGCATATAAATGTCATGGTGCTTTTTGAAAGCTTTTTTAATTTATCAAGATTCTCTGGTCTACTTTAGACTAATAGGATGTGATTGCTTGACAATGAAGTAGTATATCCATTATTTATAGGCATAAACTGTGTGTGAGTGAATTTGTAATATACACACACACACATGCACACACAATTTCAAACTGATCTCTTTATTTAGTTCACAGGGGTATATTGTTTTAATTCCACTTTTTGGGGATATCTCAACATCAGTTAATTCCCTTCAGTAACTCAACTCCACAAGGTTTTTTTTTTGTTCTCTCTGCTTGGCCAGGTATTGAAGTCAAAACTCTTTGGGTCAAATGACTTTTTGAATTACTCAACTGATGCTTTTATTGACCGGGCTATGTGTATATCACCTGAAGAAGGTTGAAGCATATAACAGCTGAAATGTTATGAAACATTATATATATATATATATATATATATATTAAAGGTAATAAATCTGTTGATATTTAATCCAAGTGGATCCTAGTAATATAAAATATTAAAACTGATTCACAAAAAGACCTCAGTGTATTCATTATTACAGAGCAAAAATTAATACACAATAAAATCCAAAATCACCTCATATGTGGAATAAGCTTATTTTGACTGACAAAAATATAATTCATCAGTCATCGATGATATATAACATAATATAATTAATACACATACATACATACACATAAATTCCCAAGTTGGCATCTACGTGGATGACACCACAATTTATTCCTGCCTCAAAAACAAATCTAGTGTCACTGACAAAACTAACCTGGCCGTGCGTTTCGAAAAGGACCTCCAATCGGTTGTGAACTGGGACAGGAATTGGCTGGTCAACTTTAATGCTTCAAAAACAAAACTGCTCTCTATTAATCACCACAGAGATCCTTCCCTGCCCTCCATTAGAATGTCTGACATTCAACTTCTCGTGAGCACCTCTCTGCGGCTGCTCGGTCTCATGTTGACTGCTGACCTGTGCCGCGCCAGGAAATTTTTCTCCCCGGAATCGATCCTCCAGATCTACTTCTGTTTGCCTCGGGGTTCTTGATAGGCTCCAGAGGCGGATATGCAATATAATTGGCCCTGCTCTAGCATCTCGTCTACAGTCACTTTCTCACAGATGTGCCATCGCCTCTCTCTGTCTGTTTTACAAATACTTTCATGGCAATTGCTTCGAGGAGCTGCATTCGCTGGTTCCCAGACTTCATGAGTTCAAGTGCCCTATGAGGCTGGCATCCCACTCTCACCCTTTCACTGTCAAAACTCCTAAATGTAGCCGTCTCTTCTACTCCAATAGCTTCATGTCTCGCACCTCTCACCTGTGGAACTCCCTTCCCTATTCCAGTTTCCCTGAGAGCTATAATCTCCAGCTATTCAAATGTAATGTCAATCGACATCTCCAGTTGCCTTGATCTATCCACTACCCTTCTCCTCATCCTTTCTTCTATCACTCCTATCTGATCTTGCTCCAAATTTTCTGTAACCCCTTGCGTTCTAGTGGCTTCCCGTCTTGCTTAGGGTGAAACGCTTAAAAAAAAAAAAATATATATATATATATATATATATATATATATATATATAATCAGAAGGATTTTGATGTAAAAGTTTCAGTAGGTGAAAGTTCTTGTAATGTGGTTGTTAATAAAATGTTTCTTGTTGGTGAATGAGTAAATTATTTGCAAGCGATAAGTCTATGAGTAAAAGGCAATATTAAACATAAGAAAGTCATCTTTGAGTAAGGTGACTTATCTTTGGTCTTCATTTTTGGAGTTGCTCAATTCCAAATGCTCCCCTTGTGAGAGACCAGATAAAAGAGAACATCTCTAAATTTTCCCATGAGTGGAATGGATTCCTTTTTTTTCTATGGAGTCATGAGAATAATACTTTTTTTTTTTTTTTTTGTGATTGGGAGATCACAACAATACCTTGACAGTCAATCCCTCTTCAGTTTATTTATTTATTTATTTTTTTTTTTTTTTTTAAATTTAGGATTGTCTGTCTCCTAGGCTGTTAGCACTGTCAAGACTAAAGTCTGCTATACTATTTCACTTGTAGCTAGTGGGACAAGAGATGTCTTTATGAAGGACATTGGAGAAAAGTGAATTCAAATAGCATCAGCTGGAATTAAAACGCAGCTTATCGACTCCATTTTCCAAACCAGTCACCATTACACTTTGTATAAGGTTATAAACTACACACATTTTTATCAGAAAAATACTAAGTTAGGCTGTCCTACATTGAAATCATGCGCTGTTGTTTTTATGAGAAAAATTCTTGTTAGGTTATCTTTTATAACATAAATCAGATTGTTTGGAAGATAATTTTATTCATGCCAGTTCGAGAAATCTTGATATCATTAGGATAAAGTTAAGGTTGCATTTACATCATGTGGAAAATATTTCATTTTAAAACAATAAATATCAAAATATATCTACTTAATGATTGTGTGTGTGTAAAGGACAGCGCGCATAACCAACAAGGAAGTTTTACAGAAAATGGTAACAAAAAGAACACTTATACTTTAAATCAAAATCAGAAAAAGACTGAAATTTCTTGATCATGTAACAAGGATGGAGGGCTTAGAAAACTTAAGGGACATGTTGAAAGCAACAAGCCACTTAAATGATGAGTTTGAGTGAATAGATGATAGCATAGTGGGAGCATATGCAAAGGGAGAGAAACTTCTAAGATTTACAAAGGAAAGGAAGTTATAGAGAGCCATGAACATCTATATCCTGAAAGGAAGCGGTTCATATAAGAATATATATATAATGTATATGTATGCGTGTGTATATTTATCTATTTTCATGTATGTATGCAAACTATAGGCCAAAAGTTTGTCTGCCTTTTGGATTTTAAAGAATCATTCAAAAATTAATGGTTACATATCTTTTTCAATGTTAATTTACAAGCTCACTCTGAGCCAGGGGGACTTTTTTTCCTAAAGGGTTTTTATCAGATATTCAATAATAATAATATTACACCACTACTGCATAAATTTTAGCTCTTTTTACCTAAACTACCTTGGTGGCTAATGGTAATCTTAGGGCTAGGAGATTTTAAATTTCAGGTAAATGATTCTCTAAAAAAATTGTACAAAATGCACTAATAGGTTAAATAATTTCAGTAATTTAGGTTGATAGGAGTTATACCAAAAAAAGTATGAAACTTACTGTTAAATTCAAAGGGTATCTCCAAATTTGTGGGCTATAGTGCACATGTGTGTGTGTGTGTGTATATATATATATATATATATATGTATATATATTTATGAATAAAAATGACAATAGGAAAACTGGTAATTGCTGACGTTTAGTCAATGTGGACTTTATCAAAGCAAAATACGAAAATGAAATTAAATGAACAAAGTAACTAATAAAAACAAAAACAGAATGTACCTAGCAACTGGAATGTAGAGAAACGCTATTTTCATATTTTTTAACTGAAAAATAACGTCAGAGATTGTCACGTGTGGAGAATATTGTCATTATATCTGTGTTGATGTATTCAACCATTTTCTTTTCGATTTTATGAATCTGGTGTGCATATTTGTTTGTAAGAGCATTAATTTTGTTAAGAAAGGTGAAATAGGGAAAAAAAGCCTGGGCGTAAATTAATATTTGGATAATTTTCTTTCTGTGGTGGCACTCTTCAGAATTTTCCTTCTGAGTGAGTTATTTTTTTTTTATGAGTGTAGCATTTTTAAAATCAAAATTATGGTTGTATTTATTTCTATGTATGACTATTGCATTAGTATTTTAAAAATAAACCTAGGCTGCAATCCCTTGATTATTATGTGTGGGGCACAGTTGAGCAAGAGACCAACAAAACTCCTTATAACACCAAAGATGAACTGAAGGCAAGGATTATGGCAGCATTCACGAACTTAAACAAGGAGAACATCTAGAAGAGTTGCAGGAGATTCCGAAGTAGTCTATGGTGCCATTTGTTAAAACCAATAGTGATTTTATTGAATAAATTTGCTCTTTAGTATTTCAAAATATTTTTGTGTAATTTTTGTAAATATATCTGTTAAAATGAGATATCAGTGTTATTTTCATTTTTGCATAATTTAGATGACAATTTATCCATCGCACCCTGTATATACACACATACAATCGTGGTTGTCTTTCGGTTTCAAAGAAGACTATCTTGCAATTCATCAGTGAATCTGGATGAATTTTGAAAACATCTCTGTAGGAAAAATTTATAGTGGGAGAAATCATTGCGGTAGGAGAGCCTTTATCTGGTGGCACAGGAATCAAATTGTTACAAGAGATTTCCGGGCTAACCCACACACACGCAGGTGTCTATTTCAAATATGGGGTATCCACTATAAAAATGTCAGATCAAAAACAAATCAATTAATTTATGTTACAGATAAAAAAAACAAAAAAACAAACTGAGCAGATATGAATCTTTCAAGAAAATAATCTGAGTGAAGATGTGTTTTCTTTCAAAAAGGAAAACAGAACCTTGTTTGCAGTGTTGTCCATTTAATCCAGTGTGTTTTACTAGACTGGATCAAAGAGTGGTTTCCCTTACAAAGGTGGACACAGGTTCAATCCCTTCTGGGGAAAACATTTTTCTGTGCCAAGATATCTCAAATTCACAGGCCAATAGACATAATACATACTGTTCAATAAAATAAAATGGGTCATCTATTTTGAATACAAAGTGTCCAATATAACATTTGAAATAGTAATATTGGATTAAAAATAAATCCATTAATTCTTTATATATATATATATATATATATATATATATATTAGGATTATTTTCCAACTTATTCAAGATGACCTTGCCCTCTCTAACCTTCTAACTTTTTGTC